TACCACTGCCAAAAGCTGTACTTACACATTGAAATCCTGTACATATATAAGACCTAACGTGATTGTGAAGGATCCCCGTACCACTGCCAAAAGCTGTACTTACACATTGAAATCCTGTACATATATAAGACCTAACGTGATTGTGAAGGATCCCCGTACCACTGCCAAAAGCTGTACTTACACATTGAAATCCTGTACCTATATAAGACCTAATGTGATTGTGAAGGATCCCCGTACCACTGTCAAAAACTGTACTTACACATTGGAAATTGTTTTTCCTGACATTAATATATGTTTGCTAAATCATTTCAGAAAAGAAAACATACCTTGCTAATTTCTTTTAGAAATAATAATATTTTATGAAATAATCAGAATATTATCAACAATGTTCTAAATGTAAAAAGTGACCGAGGTTCGAACCCTGAACTTCAGGTTGTAATACTATTGCTCTGACTGAGTAACTTGATCAACTGAAGTGTCCTGGACCAACTGTGCTACCGTTGTATCAAAACGAAATTAAGGGGAGGTCCCTCTATATGTAATAAAACACAGTACATAGGGACAGGAATCCTTAAATGACAAAATGAAGGCTCGGAAATTTAATTTTAAATCGAGCAATATTGGATTTAAAGTAATAAATATAGCATGTTTATAAACACACTGTAGTTTCCATGGTGATCTGATCAATTTCAACACTTCAACATTTAACAGTTCATCAATTAAATTTCCGTAGCCTGTGCCAATGTTAACGGACAGGTATGTTTTTAACACTTTGATTTATCAGTTGTAATTTTCAATGTTTTTATAATAAACGGACCTTGATTGTACTTCAAAACAGCAAAAGTTTGACTCTAAAAAGTTTGATTCATGTACAGAATATTTGTAGTGTTAAATCCAGACTTTACTGTAAGTTTAACACTTTGTCTTTGAAGTTTGATTTAAGGAAGTTTGACTGTATGTCCCGTAAATTAGCAGAAACAGTACACAATTTCATCATACTGAAAAAAGTGTTATTACAATGTTTATACATTATAACAAAAACGGTATTACAATGTATTACAGTGAAATAAACACGTATTACCATGTATTCAATTTTCGTACAAAATTATGATTACAAAATCAGTACTAGTACAATGTAGTAATTACATAAAATTTGATACATAATGACAGACCAGCCATTACATGTGGTGTTAATAAGGATGTAAAGCACCGCCTTGCGAAAATTATCACGAGTTAAACTTTGTTCTCCCACTGTGAGCAAAACAAAAATGTAATTGCATTGTCAATATTGTGTGACGTCATTAGAACCAGGCATCAAATATTACGATTCTCATTCCCGCACATTTTCTATACAACTATATTTTCATCATTTCGTCATTTTGCTTTTAAAAATCCATAATCTACCACGGTATAGAAAATTAACTTGTTTTCCCATTGAAATACCACACATATTTCCCTGGTATAGCAGAATATACCAATAGTATTACTTGTGCTTTCCACTTGTGAAAAATATCGGTATTGTGCGATACTCGTAAAATATATATGGTATTCAGCGGGAAACAATTAAATATTCTCCACATATAGGTCATTGTGACCTTCACTTCTAGGTCAAAGGCCAAATAAGTACAAAGCAAATATGTATATTGACTGATAAGTACAATGTAGTTCACAAAACAGTAAAGAGCCGATGATCTAAACATTACAGGATAGATCTTAAACATAGATAAGTGGTCTTTCAGATAACCATTCACACAGTTTTAAAGCTATTTATTTATCAGAGGACACGACTGAGGTTTGGTAAGAAGCTTATGTTTAGGTAAAAAGGTTATGTACAAGATATATCATACACTATAGAGTAACATCAACTTCTAGACTTGATTAGATTTTTGGACATTATCAAGGTCAAAGGTCACATTTGAAAACTTTTGAAGTAAAAGTTTGTGGACTAGATATCTCATGAAGCCGTCATTACAGATTTTGTTTATATCAACACCATAGTATAGTATCTCAACTATTTCCTGATTGGAGGCTGTGGAGTATATATGACTTTGTCTCTATCCCCAACTGTTGTAAGTTAAATCATGTCTGATAATCGTCAACTATCTGTCACCAGCTTCATTCCTTCTTAAAGTAAAATTATAAATAAAATTGTATAATCTTCTGGGGAAAAACGACCTTTTCTTTTTCTAGTACACCTTAAGATACATAGGATAAAATAATAAAACCCTACTCATAACAGTTCTAATGTACATACCATCTTCTATCTAACCACCATTGTCCCACTATCCAGCCATCAATAATCTTGTTGTCATATTATTATCCAGCCATGGATAGTCCAGTTTTCTCACATTCCAGTTGACATTTGCCCAGTTGTCCCACATTCCAGCCACCATTTGCACAGTTGTCCCAGATTCCAGCCACCATTAGTTCTGTTGTATCACATTCCAGCCACCATTAGTTCAGTTGTCCCACATTCTAGCCACCATTTGTACAGTTGTCCGACATTCCAGCCACCATTTGTACAGTTTTCCCCACATTCCAGCCACTATTTGTACAGTTTTCCCACATTCTAGCCACCATTTGTACAGTTGTCCCACATTCCAGCCACCATTTGTACAGTTGTCCCACATTCCAGCCACCATTAGTTCAGTTGTCCCACATTCAAGCCACCATTAGACCAGTTGTCTAACATTCAGCCACCATTTGTACAGTTGTCCCACATCCAATCCCCAAGTTCATTTTAGTGGTTTAGTAGCAAATTGAATTTGCTTTAACAAAATTGTTCCCCACACATACTTTGATGAGAATGAATTATTAATCACACTAGAATATTGACTGTTTTTTCTCTGTTGATCATAATCAATAATATCACTAGGAATGTTGAATAGATTTTCTCCAGTGATTATGATGATATACAATCAGGGTAGAATGTTGACTGATTGTTTATTGTGATCAGTTTTGTTGGTCTGGTTGTGTGTTGTCATGGCAACTATACCTACTAGTTATGTCACAGGAATCACCCACTGCTGTACTGTAGTAGTTTAACATTCCTACCAAACACTGCCCACAGGACATCCTCCCTGTCTACACCTACAGCACATGTACAGTCTGTGTCTGTGTGTATGATCCTGAGGAACTCCCCACGTCCACTGATGAGTAGGACTCTGTAGTTGTCCCAGTCCCCTATGATAATGTTCCCCACACTGTCATACACCACACTCTGGGGGTCAAATGGTTCAACTCCTTTATGTGATGATTGTTTATATGTACTGGGGATGTCACCTCTATATACAAACAGTTCCCTGAAATCAGTGTCTATAACAATAACATGACGTGTCCCATCACCACCATCACCCTTAATATTCCTATGAACCACTGTGACATTGTGAGTGACAGGACACTCTGGGATCCTCCCTGGTGTACACACTAATGGCTTCCCAGTCCCTGTAGCACTTGTAGTGAGTACCATTTGACCTTGTGGGGTAAATTTGGAGATGTTGTTGGTCATCCCTAAAATGACATGGTTACAGGCAGTAACACAGATACACCTGGGTGTCTCCTTGGTACTGAATCTGTGTTTTAGTCCTCCTGATACCAGCTCCATGATGTTGTTTTCTCTATCACAGACCCACAGTGTGTGTGTTGTTGGTGACAGACTTATGTCTTTGATGATAGTTCTTCTGTGTTTGACCTCCTGTATTTCTTTCCCCTTCCTGTCCAAGAGAGTTAATGTTTTACTGTGATACACACCGTACACCTGACCATCAGCGGTGGGGCATATAGAATTAATACCAACAGGAGACCTCCACTCCTCCAACACTTTGGTCTGTGGCAGTAGTTTGTACATTGTCACTGCCTTCTTTCCTTTTGGTTCTGATTGTTGTGATGTAGAGGATGGTTCCTGACCACCAGATGTCCTAATTACTGACCCATCCTGGTTAGTTGAAGCTTGATCTAAGGCGTCAAATTTACCTAAGGCCAGCTTTAGGTGATTTTGAGGAGTTTTGTTTGGAGTGAAACTGGCAGTACCCAGGACAGGTTTTACAGGGACGCTTATTTGGGAATGAATTTCACATCCTGTGTCGTAGATTTCTATGTGAGAACCATGCTGGAGTGCTGCTTTGCATTCCTGAATTAGTTGTCCGAGTTGCTTGTTATACATTTCAAGGTCCTGTTTGTATTTCCGTATAAGCATGGTATTATCCTCCTCCATTTTGTGGTAAAGAGAGAGTGTCTGTGCTGTAAGGAAGTCGAGGTCTTGTTTTAATTTGTCTGTTTGCTTTTTCAACTTGTGTGAAAGATTCTCAAAATTGCTCGTATTGTCTCTAAGAAGTGTATCAGTAGATTTGATGTATTCCCTAAGTTGTACTAGCTCATTTTGTTCAGTTCTGTCAATAAAGTTTTGAATGTCTTGTTTCTTTGTAGGAGTAATATCGCTGAGTTCACAAACATCATGGCCTTTGTGAGTAGATAAATGACATTTTAGACAAACAAGTTTATCACATTTTTCACAGTAAAGTTCCAGTGGTCTCCCATTGTGTTCAGTACAGGTACGGAGAGGGATTTGACCTATGGTTGTTGCCATGTTGATGAAAAAGTTGTGGAAGAGACAAGGAAGTTTATAAATAGACCCAAACAACTTGTCTATTATATATAACTGATATTGAATAACAGTCACAAAATAGACTTCATTTCATGTCTCTAAATCTTGACTTTACATCGAGCTCCAATCCAGGCACATGTGTTCATAAAACATAATTGTAAAGACACTCAAGCATAGCTACCTGATGATCACTGATGTGGGTTACTAGGAAGAGGAATCCAGGTTTTCCATTCCAAGCCTCAGAATGTTAACGTCAAGCAAACACAGGTACATATTGTAGTTGTTCATATCCCAAGTATTTGATTCCTTGTCGAGGTAAACATCCAATATCTTATTTGTGTTGATAAGTTACTTGTTTAGCTGGCTCAGAATTACACTAAATGTTCCAAGGAGAAATTTCTGTTTAATGTCAGGTACAAAGTCCAAACTGAATACGCAATCTTCATAGATCTACCCACTGAATTAGATAAGACCCTGCTATCTAAGCCCGTGATCTACCTGTGCAGACTTCCTTGTTGAGGGGTGTACTCAGTTTCCCCCATTTTTATAAAGAACAAAGAAAAGTGTTGATCTAGGAAGACAATGGCAAACCTATTATAGTCTGTTTCATACTTACCCCACAGGTAACTTACCTGTGTGAAAGTTACCCGTCTGGTTGTAGCTTTTCTGTGTATGTGATATGTAAGGGATTTTTTGGATATATTTTAGAAGTTTTAAGTAATTTTGAGGGGTATGAAATTGATGAAATAAGATAATAAATAAACACCTAATTGTTTGTTCTGGTTATCAAATTTTAGGTTGTCACTAATAAACGCTTAATTGTCTATTTATCAAATTTTAGGTAAACATTTAAAATTCATTTATGCATATACACATGATACGTCATACATGATGTACAATACAGATATAACAAATAATAACTAAATAGTAAGAGTTTACAGTCAAATATATCAATACTGATACATTACATTTCATTTACATTACACGTTTTGAGCCTCCAAAAACAAAACAAGCTAAGATATGTACTTCATGAGCTATGGTGGAAAACTGACCATTTCCCCAAGTCGGCATTTCTGAATTCGGGAAAAAAATCATGAGTAGATCATTTCTAGTAGCAAAAATGCATGGAAAAGGTATCAAACCAATTGAATATGAATTTTTGAACTGCTGAGATATTAGGTATTTGTTAATACAATACTGTAAATATAGCCATATTCACTATATCTATGAATGTAATGGGATTTCAAAGACTTAAAAAAATACTTTCAACACTTTCCCATCTGAGGACCAACTTTTGAATACATTTTTTGATTCCGTGATGTAATATGCAAAACTAAATTGTATGACGGTAAAGCGCTCAAAATAATGAAAAACATGGTTGATCAAGTTTCTCAAAACTGTTTCTTGGGTTAAAACAGTCTGTATTACTGTTAGTAGAGTTCCCACAATGGGGTCCCGTGACAACTTTTCCCGGACCAAGTTTTGAAGTTGTTTTTAGTCAATTTGAGGGTGCTTATTAAAATGAGCTGGGGTGAACTTCCTGAAAATGCGGACTAACTCGGCCAGACGCGAAAATTCAAAATGGCCGCCACCCGTCGTCTGGTATATAAAACAAATACATATCTTTGCTTGTAGAATTCCGTTTTTATATGATTTTTTGGTCTAAATATATGTTTTAATGGTCATGGATTTGATTTATTAGTACAAAAACTTGATAAAAGTAAGCGTTAGAACGAAAAATGGTCTGTTATTTTTTTGCTGCCCAAAACCAGGATAACCGGAAGCTGACTGCAAAGGAAAAGACCAGGAAGACACCCTGAATGGTTTGGATGCAAAGTTTTCATATTCAACCAGTGTAAATTAGATAAAACAACCATTGTATGAAATGTCTGGTCAATGATTTTGTTTATTTCGGGTTTATCGTCCATGCATCAGCCAAAATCATATGATTGGTTTTGTTTGTGTTTAATTAGTTGATCGTCCTATTAACAGGTAAGGTCATTTAAGGACGTGCCTCTATGTGCGTTGTGTAACCGTGCATATGAGTATGTGTGCAGGAGACAGGGTATGTTGGTGTACCTGCCTCCTTGTGATAGCGTGGATCTGATGCTGACTTGATAATGCTAAAGGCACCCAGCACAGCATTCCGTCTGGTCACATTATGCTGACAACGGGTGAACTAGTTTTTGCCATATTTCTAAATGCTGAACGTAAAGCAGGGAATAACAACTACCATGTTTAAGGACTTTGGTATTTCCAGGCCCGGGAACAGAACCCATTGGCTTCCTAATCTGGGCGAACGTTGTAACGTTCAACGTTAAAGCCAAAATTGAGGTGTTGCCAAGCAAGGCGCAAGGAAATAAAAGGAAGTAAGAAATAGAAAGAAATGTAATGTAAATCCCAAATATTGCAATGGGTGCAGCAGATTTATTTTGGTCGCTTTTGTGTCCCAAAATAGAGGGCACAAAAGCAAATCCCCAATGGTAAATATGAGAACGGGTGCCTAGCTAGTCACCGCCACAAACAGCAAGTGGTTAGAAAAGAAAGAAGACACGAAGGAAGGAAACCAAAAAGATCTCAAGTGTTGTAATGGGCGACGCAGATCAGTTTTTGTCTCTTCCATTTCCCCTTAGTCATGCAGTGGGAATCAGCAGACTTATTCTTTTTCCAAACTGCACAGGTTGTCTGGTCAATGAAACATGTAGACTTTCAGTCACCATCTTCCTCTTTATCCAGAGTCACTACATATAACTTCGTCATCATTACTTTCATCTTCCATATCACCGTGCAAGTATATATCTACTCATGAGTCATGTTTAGCTTACTAATTTTATCATTGTAGATGTGTCGAACAGTGAATGTGGACATTAGCTGAAGAGCCTCTTGTATCACTGAAAATGCTTTGCAACATCTTTCAAAAGATTGCGTGCCTCCTGAGTTTCTGTTTTCCATGTCCATTTAAGTCAGAAATTGCATCATAACCACTGTGGATATGTAATGGAATCAAGGATTTGTTAGCCTTTAGGTGAAACCAGAGCACTGAAGTGGGATCAGTTGAAAAAGAAGTCCAAGTGCCGCATCCCATCAAATGTAGTGACCATGGATAAAGAGGAAGATGGTGACTGAAAGTCTACATTTTTCATTGACCAGACAACCTGTGCAGTTTGGAAAAAGAATAGGTCTGCTGAATCCCACTACATGACCATAAGAGGCGACTAATGTGGGAGCCCCTGCATAATTTGGGGGTTTAGTCCGTGTCTTCTACGAAGGGGAAATGGAAGAGACAGAAAATGATCTGCTTCTCCCATTACAACCCAAGCTCTCTTTGGTTTCCTTCCTTTCCTGTCTTTTTTCTTCTCTTAACAACTAGCTGTTTGTGGCGGCGACTACTTAGACACCCGTCGTCATGTTAACCATTGGGGATTTGTTTTTGTGCCCTCTATTTTGGGACATAAAAGCGACCAAATTAAATCTGCTGCAACAATTGCAATATTTGGGATTTGTATTATATTTCATTTTATTTCTAAATAACCTTTATTTCCTTGCGCCTTGCTTGGAAACACCTTGCTTTTGGCTTTAACGTTGAACGTTCGCACATGTGAGGAAGCCAATGGGTTCTGTCCCCAGCCCGGGACATACCTAAGTCCTTAAAAAGGTAGTTGTTATGCATTGGTTAACGTTCAGCATTAAGGGAAATGGCAACAACTAGTTCACTTGTTGTCAGTATAATGTTACTGGACGGAATGGTGTGCTGGGTGCCTTTGGCATTGCATTTCAGTGAGATAGCACTATAAAGTCGGCATCAGATCCGCGCTATTACAAGGAGTACACCAACATACCCTGTCACTGGACACATACACAGATACACGCTTACACAACACACATGGAGGCACGCCCTTCAATGCCATTACCTGTTAATAGGACATTAAACAAATTAAAAACAAACCAATCATATGAGTATGGCTGTTGCAATGACGAAATTAATCCCCGAAATAAACAAATTCATTTACCAGTCATTTCAATGAAACTTTTTCATCCAAACCATTAAGTGTGTCTTCCTGGTCTTTTCCTTTGCAGTCAACTTGCGGTTATCCTGGTTTTCGGCAGCAAAAAAATAACATACCATTTTTCGTTCTAACGCTTACTTTAATCAAGTTGTTGTACTAATAAATCAAATCCATGACCCTTAAAACATGTATTTAGACCCAAAAATCATATAAAACGGACATCTAAAAGCAAAGATATGTATTTGTTTGATATACCAGACGACAGGTGGCGGCCATTTTGATTTTTTGCGTCTGGCCGAGTTAGCCCACATTTTCATGAGGTTCACCCCCATCTCATTTTAATCAGCACCCTCAAATGGACTAAAATCAATTTTCAAACCTTGGTCCGGGAAAAGTGGTCACGGGGCCCCATTGTGGGAACTCTACTATGTAGTGTAGCCGAATGTGTAACGCAGTTTACTGAAGCAAACGGTGCAAGTTCAAATCCACGTTAAGATTAACTTCTTTTTAACATTTAGGCATGCGACCTTTTTCCTTCATTAAGTAATAAAACATCTTTTTGTAAATCAATGGAACATTTTATTGATATTTTAATAACATACATATTGATTTATCTTCTATGGAATCATGTCATCAAACTCCTGCACACGTGGACAGTACAGCTACGCTTTGTAGATGTGACATCATTTTAAATGATATTTATGAATTGTTTTACCCTCCAATTGGCACTAGTAATTTTATTTATTATTTACACACAAACAAATGGTGCCGAAATACAAAATATGTGGGATTGTTGCGTTATAATAAAAGAGGCCAAGCAAAAAAAAAGAACTGTAATTATCGCAAATATGCATTACAGTCCGACAGTCAAGTGTCACACATTTCTGTTGTAATTTATCCCAGATGTAAGATATATGATGCTTCGTTCGCGTACTCCATAAAGTCCATCGTCCGGTTCTCAAGGCGTACTTATAGATAATGGTAAAACTCATCATTATCTCACTAATTAGCATAGGCTGTGATCACTTCTAGCTCACCAGGATGGGAATAATTATAGATATTTAAGGATTTTTATGATAGTTATAATATACTTCTAACATCCAGGAATTTAGATGAATTTCTTTTTATAAATATTAATTATCAACTGTACCACATTCTTAGTCACACGTACTCATTCTTACTAGGTATTTAGGCATTCTATTAAATGTTACAATAATAAAGAAAAGTTTCATTTTATAACTAGATTTTCATTTTAATATGTTTTAAGAACAAAACTATTTTCACAAAATAACACACTTCATCTTATTATATGTCATATCAGCAGCACAAGGACTACAGAATGGATATATTTAATATATATATTTGTTATTTATATATATAATTAATATTGAAATATTTTAATAACCATCTGCTTTTAAAAACTTGTAAGTCTTATATGATGTATTATTAAATTATATATGATCAGC